CAGACCCAAGCGTTTCGCAAGCACGCCGGGACGCGGAAGCACAAGCTAGCATTGGAGAAGCAGGAGGCCCTGCTTGCTGCCGCGACTTCGCAGCCTCGCATCAACGAGCATCGTGCGGCCGTCGACGCTGAGAAGAGCCGTGTTGTATCACTACTGGACGTGCTTCTGTTCGTCAGCCAGTGCGACGCACCCATGGGGACATGGGTGAAGTTGGTGCAGTATCTGGCACAGAAGGGGGTTCAAGGATTCCCGAAGAAAGGTTACGGGACCTACTACACCACGTGAGTATTTAGTACATATGTCCTCGTAACATTGAATGCTCGGTTTCACTAATACCATGCTGTTTTTGAATGGCAGGTACGGCTATGGCGAACTCGTGGAATCAATGGCAACCTGGCTGCAAACGACTCAACTGGAGCACATCCTCCGAAGCCCGTTCATTGGCATCAGCCTCGACGAAAGCACCGATCGCTGCAGGGGCAAGCACATGATAGTTTACGCCACGTTCATCCGCGACAACAAACTCGTGTCCGAGTTTATGCAACTGATCACTGTTGAGAAAGCTGACGCATCCACCCTGTTGAGTCAGCTGCTCTCTCACTTGCAGGCAGTTGGTGTCGAGGTGCAGAGGATTTTGGGCATCAGCACCGACAGTGCTTCTGTGATGATGGGGAGTCGAGCTGGACTGGTGGTTCGCCTACAAGAGATGGTCCCACACCTCGTCTCGTGCCACTGCATCACCCACAGGTGCGGGTGTTGTTGCATCTTACCCGGTCTGTCTTTATTCTTTGTTCATAGTTCTAATACATCCATTATGTTTCATCGCAGGGAGGCGCTTGCCGCAAAGGAGGCGGCCGAAGCTCTACCAGTCTTCGACATGGTCGACGACCTCGTCCGCGTGACGGCTGACCTTCTGGGACGCTCTGCCCCGAAGCACCAACGGTTCATGGACCTCCAGCAGCTCTTCACAGAGACAAGCCTGGAAGTCTAAGGCATACATCAATTTCGGTGGCTATCTCGGGGTGAAGCCATACTTCGCATCCTTGCCCTATGGCCTGCAATTGTGATTTTCCTCAAGGAGTACCATTCCGTTATGTATCTGCTTGTCACCTCGTACAGGTTTCATTTTTTCATGTACTTTCTGGCTGATGTTCTTGAGCAGCCGAACGTCCTAAACAAGTCCTTCCAGCAACGGCAGGTAATTCAGTTTGACTTAATATTTTTTACATTGTCGCGGAAGCTACCATACTGACACTGTTCCTCCCCTTTCTCCCGTTGGCAGTTGGATCTCATCTCTCTTCATGCTCAGATCAAGCGCACGACCTCACACCTAGAGAGTCGATATGTCGACTGTGGGGACGACTTCGGCGGTGGCTTGAGCCGCTGGCTCTCTCCCTTTATCAAGCGCTACGGTCCTGGAAAGAAGCGTGACGTGACTGTGGAGGGAGTCGACTCCGACGGCCGACCCGAGAAAATCACCTTCACGCTCCACGACAACCCCATGGATGGGTATGACGGCCCTGAGGATTACAACGGATGCATTGACCTCTGCACCGACTTTGCTGAACGCATCGTGGCGAACCTGGAGAGGAGGCTGGGTGACCTGGACTCGCTGTCTGGTGTCAGGCTGTTCATGCCTGATGAGTGGCCGAAGGGCAAGCCGGAGCGACATGCACGATGTGTGGAGTGGTTGCTGTCGCTGGTGACGCTGTTCAAGGCTCAAGATTCGGAGGAGATTCTGCCAGGTAAAGTAACCATCGTCCATCCCGGTTGCTCTACCTCTGGTAACTGCCGTTTGCCCATTCCCTAGTGCCACGGTTCACACTCAGCTTACCAACTCGTGCTGCCTTGTTTGCCCCTGTTACGCCTTTCAGGAATCAACAAGCGAAAGGCACAGAAGGAGCTTCGGTTGTTCTGCTCTGTCCTTGCTGCTGCACCACAGGGGGAGAGGACGTTCCACGAGGGCCTCACCGCGATCCTGAAGACTCCAGACTGGCGCGAGAGCTAACCCAACCTCGTGCAGCTGTGGGTGGCGGTTGCGGTGATTCCCCTTAGCACTGTTGAGTGCGAAAGGGGCTTCTCGCGCCAAAACGTTATCAAGTCGTGGCTTCGAGGTGTGCTGAAGGATGCAAGACTGGGCGACTTGATGTGCTTGTCTCTGATGCCGTACGAGCCGGTGTTTGACGAGGTGGTGGACATCTGGAGAAGCTACAAGAAGAGGAAGCCGTTTCCAAACTCCCCCATTTCCACCCCAGGAGAACCCAGCAAGAAGGGGAAAGCTGCAGCCATGGAAGTAGAACACCCCAAGCCTGTAGATGCTCTCGACTTATCTAGTGATAGTGACGACGATGATGAGGATGAAGAAGATGATGTTGACGAGGATATGGCTTACCGTATGTAGCTCCTGTACCGTTCTTTTCTCAATGCTATACTTGTAGAACGCTTGCTGTTGTAGGTAGGACACTCTAAAGAAAGTTCAGCCTTTTTTATTTGGTGACTCTGATTGAACAGCTTTTTTACCAATGGCAACACTGAAAACTGATGGGTCAGCCAATAGCATCCTCCAGAGACTGACGATTCAGCCTAGACTAAAACGAATCTGAGACCCTGGTGCAGGCAATCCCTAGGCAGCTCCAGATGTCCATCCGGCCTTAATACCGTCATCGGGTCTACATCCAGAAATATCCCTCCAATTCCCTCCACAAGCTGCTTCGCCACAGCATTCCGACCAACGAAATCACCCCAATGAAAGGGCAGTTTCATCGGGTTTTGCCGCTTTCTAAGAGGTGATTTCAGCTGGTCGCAATGTGCATGTCCCGGTGGAGTGCTCGCACTTTATTAAGAGTTCCGTTTAACTGAGGGATGAATTGACTATCCCCTCTGTAGTGCGCCCCACGGTTGATTAAAATAATAAATGTTCCTGTACCAGGCTGGATCTGGTCGAACCAGGGTATGGAAATCTGCCCGGGAAAATTAACTACAGTATCAGCTGCTGTGCTAAGGATGTCATCTCTTATATACACGATGGATGAATTTCCCACCTTAAATTCGTTACATGTCGCCAGCGCAGGCCGTGCTGCCAGCTTGCCTTGCAGAAATCAGGGACCACATCCCAGACGGGAAGCTTCTCAGAACCTTCTGTGTCTGCTGCTGCTGCTGCTTCTTGTGCTGCTTCTGGGACGGAGAAGTTCTGCATCAGGTGATTCCTCAGAGAAAAAAACAGCATCCCGCTTATAGAGTCACCCACTATAAGCATGCTCTTCCCGTTAAGCAACTCCGCTATCTTACTGCTCGCCACGTCCTCCCACCGCCCACATGTCCTATGCGGTAACCATCGGTACTTCACTGCTTGCCTCACCCGCCAATCCCCTGCCGGCAGCCCCTGCAGCACCACCTTATCAGCTGCTCCCCATGCCACGTGTCCACCACCTGACGTGGACACGTCCACAGTGGCCTTCCCACCACCATCACTAGCTGACATGGCAGACGCCTTCACGGTCCATGCCATGTCACACTGCCAGCCGCCCCAGCCACTGCTTGACGGCGCCGTCCAGGGGAGCAGGCGCGGCACGGGGTCGAGGCGCCACGCGCCGTGATTGGCCAGGCACGCGTGGCGGGTTCGGAACGCGCTGACAGCTGCCTGAGACGTGACGGATGAGCCGGGAATGAGAGCTGGTTTTTGGCGGGAGTTTAACGTGATTTTGGCGGAGTTTTGGCGGGAGTTGGCAATGGGAGCTGGTTGCAACCTGTCTTTCTGCTTGGGTTCGGTTTGGGGGGCTGGCTGGACCTGTTGTTGACCTGGTTGACCCCGTTGAACTGACTGACTCAATTGGCCCAGTTTACCCATTCTACTCGACAGTACAGGTGGACCCAATTGACTGTGTTGACCCTGACCCTGTTGACCCTGTTGACCGCGTTGACCCCGTTGTTCACCTTGTACACTTCCAACGCCCTGCTTGAGCTGTCCGCTCGAATGATATGCAGCCAGCAACGGGGATTCTCCGGCAACGCCGATCTCACCGTTGCTGGGGTACTTAGCAAGGAGGAGGATGTCGCGAAACGGCAGCTGGTAACCACCGAATGCGAAGAGGAGGAGCAGCGCGACCGTCGCGACGACGGCGACGAGTTGGATGCAGGCGACCGGCGAGCGGAAGCGGGAAATTGTGGAAACCGTGCTGCTGACGTGGCGCGAAAAGCTGACGTGGTTCGCACCGTTGACGTCGCTCGTGTTCCTGATAAGACTAAGGAACAGATTGGGCTGCTCTTTGGTCAGGGGGAGATGGTCGTGGTCTGAGAGAGGATGAAAATCGTTGCGATTATGCTGACGCTCATGCGACAGCGAGATAGACAGCGGCATAGGAACCTCCCTCATTTTGAAAACACTAAAGTACTATTTCCTGTACGTGTCCTTCCAGATTAATCCAACAGTATCGGCCATGTACATCTTATCTACCGCGCTTGACGGCCAGAACTGAGTAGAGTTCCACCTAACTCACCCTCCCTCCGTACGACTTCGGACTTAAAGCCCGAGTCTAGAATGGTAAGGGTTCAACTTCAAGATTCTTGAACTTGTGTTCGTCAAGAACAGGGTAACCAGGTTCAGAAAGCTGATCTCTCGCGACTCACCGAGAAGGGAGCTGGTGGGCCAGAAGGTGATTGGCCAAATGCCCCTCAGCAAAAACACCAACGAGCCTCGCGAGAAACAAGCAAGGACAAGTACCACTGTTCACACTTTCGGAACTTGAAACTCGAGAACACCTTTCTAGACTCGTAGTATAGTGGGCTCCATAGCCCAAGTTCTCGTCAGTAGCCAGCATAGTTACGCCCATCTCCCCGCGCTATGCTAAGACGTTAGTAGCACATACAGATGAAACTTCCCGGCGACTTTTTCGCGCATAACAAATCCGATCTCGTAGCCATGAACAAAGACAGGACCCTCAGATTGATCGCCACCGTGAGAATCACTCGTCGCCACTGAAGGTTATCCCAGTCCGCACTCAATGCCGGTCCGCAATAACTCAAGGCCCGCCCTCACTCCCGTCGTTCACTCCCGTCGTTCTCTCTCTCCCGTCAAACTCTTTCTCCCATCGCGCTCTCACTCCCATCGCTCTCTCACTCCCGCAACGCTCTCACTCCCGTCGCTCTCTCACTCCCGTCGCTCTCTCACTCCCGCAACGCTCTCACTCCCGTCGCTCTCTCACTCCCGTCACGCTCTCACTCCGTCTCTCTCACTTCCGTCACGCTTTTACTACCGTCGCTCTCTCACTCCCGTCGCTCTCTCGCTTCCGTCGCGCTCTCACTACCATCGATCTCTCACGCCCGCAACGCTCTCACTCCGTCGCTCTCTCACTCCCGTCGCTCTCTCATTCCCGTCGCTCTCTCACTCCCGTCGCTCTCTCACTCCCGTCGCTCTCTCACTCCCGTCGCTCTCTCACTTCCGTCGCACTCTCACTCCCGTCGCTCTCTCACTTCCGTCCCGCTCTCACTCCCGTCACCCACGCACGTCGCTCGCACATGTCGCTCATATCTGCTCCTTCCCCCCTCTTCCCCCTTGCGCCCTTCCCCGTTCCTCCTCTTCCCATCTTCCTTTGTCACTCACACACGTCACACACGACATGCTCACACATGTTCCCATCTCCCCTCTCCTCCCTTCCCTCTCCGCTGCTCTCCTCCTTTCCCTCTCTGTCCCCCTCCTTCCCTTCTCTGTCTTCGCCTCGCCGCCCTCCCACTCATCCCCTCTCCTTCCTTTCCCTCTCAGCCCCTCTCCTCCTTTCCCTCTCAGCCCCTCTCCTCTTTTCCCTCTCAGTCCCTCTCTTCCTTTACCTCTCTCCCGTTTTCTCCCTTTATCTCTCCTCTGCCCGCTCTGCCCTTTCCTCTACCTTCCCTATCCTTATGTCCACCAACATGCCCTTTGATGAGCTCGCCACGTTTCTCCCTCCCTGTTTCTTGTTCTTCACTCCGTTTCCCCCATTGTCCTTCCCTATCTTTCCCCCCGGTCATTCCCTCCATCTCACTTATTGTCACTGCCTCCCTTTCCCATTGTCCTCTCCTCCGTTTCGCCCCTTTTCCTTCCAACCTTTCCCCCATGTCCTTCCTTCCGTATTCCCCCTTATTTCTTCCTCCCTGTCCCACTTTCCCTCCTTCTCAAGACCCTTGTCCGTCCCTCGGGCTCCCCGCTTCAGCTCTCCCTCCCTTTCCCCCCTGTTCTGCCCTCCCAGTTGCTGGTGTCTCCCTCCCTTTCGCCCAAGTCCTTCCCTCCGTTTCCCCCCTTGTTCGTTGCTCCGTATCCCCGTGTGCTGGATCCGTTTCTCCTCTTGTCTCCATCTTTTTCCCTTTCCGCAGCTCCCGCCCCTCTGATTTCCCCCCTGGTTTGCCCCTCCGTTGCCTTTCTCCCCTTCATCCCTCTTGCCCTTTTCCGATCATCTGTTGCCCCATGCCCCACGCCCCATGCCCCATGCCCCATGCCTCACACCTCATATCTCAACACCCTGCCACTGTGCCCTTCATGGTCAGATAGGGTTCCTGCCGGCGGCAGCAGCAGCCAACCTCACAGAGGAAGTGGTGGTTCGCTTTGACTGCCTTTCCAACGCTCGAGAGCTCTCACGCCCACGACCACAGGCACACCACACACCCCTGACACTGAGGTAGTGGCCTCCAACAGGGGGTAGTTGGGAGGTCAATCAAATAGTCTCTTTCGTTTGCCTTCTCTGCATTGGTATCACGTCACACTCTTCTACCATCTTTCCACCACCCATTCCACCATACCCACCCTGACACTCAGCCCTCACCCTTCCACTCTGTGCCTTACTCACTCCTTCGCTGTTTCTGTCCTTCTCTCACTTTCCCTTTGCTCTCTGTCATCTTGCTCACCCTGTTCCTTGCTCACTCATACATTTGTTGTTTCTGTCCTTTGCTCGCTGTCCCCTGCTCACCCTTCAATCTTTGCCCCTGCCTCGCTGTTGCATTCCTTGTCATTCCCCTCCCATTCCTTCCTCTGCACGCGATCCGTGCTGCCCTTCACCGTATGCTTCCCTGCTGCTCAGCCATCTCACATCTAATTTCCTGATTTGTGTTTGTACAGGTCCGCTATGCATCAGTGCTGGTGCTGTGGTGATGTGTTGGTTGGCAGTTTGATAGTACTATAATGACTTGCCATGCATTGTTTGGATCTTGGATGCTTTGTTATACCGGTATTACAAACTTTGAGCTGAGAGCAGCCGTGCACATGACCACTACAAAAAAGTGCAACAAAATTCGCAGTTGATTATCGACGCGAAGAAGACAGCTAGGAAATGTATTTTTTTTTCCCCCGTTCTTGTTTGCTACACTGCATGCAACCTTGGCCTGTGGTGTTGGGGGCCTGGGACCTGTACACTGCGTGGTTGGAGATGGGTATGAGTGAAAGGGGGAACAGATTGAGCAGCGGAAGAGAGAGTGAACAGGAAGAAACATAGCGAACAGGGGGAAAGAGAGTGAGCAGAGAGGAACAGAGCGAGTAGTTGGGGAGAGTATGGGCAGGAGAAACACAGTGAGTGGGAGAGAATGAGCAGGGGAAACAGATTGACCCAGGAATATAAGGACGGAAAGATGAGCAGAATGAATGGGAGGGGGATGGGAGAGCGATGGGAGGGGGATGGGAGGGGGATGGGAGGGCGATGGGAGGGAGATGGAAGGGGGATGGGAGGGGGATGGGAGGGGGGATGGGATGGGGATGGGAGGAGGATGGACAGGGGGTGGGAGGGGGATGGGAGGGGGATGGGAGGGGGATGGGAGGGGGATGGGAGGGGGATGGGAGGGGGATGGGAGGGGGATGGGAGGGGGATGGGAGGGGGATGGGAGGGGGATGGGAGGGGGATGGGAGGGGGATGAGAGGGGGGTGGGAGGGGGTTGGGAGGGGGATGGGAGGGGGATGGGAGGGCGGCGGGAGGGGGATGGGAGGGCGATGGGAGGGGGATGGAAGGGGGATGGGAGGAGGATGGGAGGGGGATGGGAGGAGGATGGGAGGGGGATGGGAGGGGGATGGGAGGGGGATGGGAGGGGGATGGGAGGGGGATGGGAGGGGGATGGGAGGGGGATGGGAGGGGGATGAGAGGGGGGTGGGAGGGGGTTGGGAGGGGGAGGGGAGGGGGATGGGAGGGCGGCGGGAGGGGGATGGGAGGGCGATGGGAGGGGGATGGAAGGGGGATGGGAGGGAGATGGGAGGGGGATGGGAGGGGGATGGGAGGGGGATGGGAGGCGGATGGGAGGGGGATGGGAGGAGGATGAGAGGGGGATGAGAGGGGGATGGGAGGGGGATGGGAGGGGGATGGGAGGGGGATGGGAGGACGACGGGAGGGCGATGGGAGGGGGACGGGAGGGCGATTGGCGGGGGACGGGAGGGGGACGGGAGGGGGACGGGAGGGGGATGGGAGGTCGACGGGAGGGGGAAGCGAGGGCGACGGGAGGGGGAAGCGAGGGCGACGGGAGGGGGAAGCGAGGGCGACGGGAGGGGAAAGCGAGGGCGACGGGAGGGGAAAGCGAGGGCGATGGGCGGGGGAAGCGAGGGCGATGGGCGGGGGAAGCTGGTGCGACGGATGGGGGAAGCTGTGGCGACGGACGGTGGATGCGAGATATGGACGGACGGGGGAAGCGGAGTCGACAACGCTCTAATTTCTCATCTTGCACAATATCTCCTTGCTTCACACTCGCATTCGAGCCACATTCCCTACCTCGGTCCTCGGATTCCTCTCGATTCCGGCATAAAAGCATATGTTCTCACATGTCATACCCAGCTATTTTACTCTGGATACTTCATATTTTCCTAACACTGATGCTCTATCTGGTCTTACGCATGTTTTTCTCAGGCTGCTCAAAGAGAGTGCTTGTGGACATGGCGGAAATCCGGGTTGTGAGCTTCATGAGAGTGGTTGGGTTTGGTTTTGTCGAAGCTGTTTGTTCAAGTTTCGGGAAGTTGAAGTTGAAGTTGCGATACACTTTCGGGCATTCTGCCTTCGCCAACTTCCTCAGGCGAATTTTTCTCTCGTCAACCTTCGCGCAACCCTTTTCAAGTTCAGTATTTATGAACCCTTGCCATTCTAGGCGCGGGCTTTAACACAACGCCCCAAAATTAGTCCAAAAACTGATCTTTTCTGATTTCCCTTCAGTAGAAAGTCGCCTGAAAGTTCAATATAACTGACAACCTCCCTGCTGCACAGATGCGATGCAATGCAAATCTGCTGAACAGACTTTGTACTCACTACTGTGCAATAGCCTGCAAGCTCCGATACTGTGTGTACAAAGCCTCTCTGAGTGTACCTATTTCGTAGGTACGCTGCATTGGTAAATGGGAGGGCGATACATGGAATTCACCGTACAGTACCGTAGTTTAGTCAGCCCCTACCACCGAACCTGAAACCCCTGAACCCTAGGGATCGATTTGTTCCACCTGGAACATCCCAACCTTGCTTTCATCACCACGTCAGCGTGATCCAGAAAGGCCTGAGCCGCCACGTATTCGGGCCATCACACCAAAGGTGGTGACGCAAATATTCGAGAGCCAGCTGGCGAAAGCCTTCAACCCCACATAATTTCATTTCGCCGGGCCTCAGATGCGTACGGATACACATCGCTTCATTTCGCCATACAGACACGTCACACTCGCGAACTTCGCCTACTGACTCTCCTACTCCTGCTTCATGTTCCAAGCTTCTCCACCCTCCCCTCTCTCTAGGGTTTTCAAGCAGCCTCTTTTCCTTCCCCCTGGTGCTTGGGTATTATTTCTCCGCGATTCAAGGTAGCTGTGTTCTTGGCCAGCCATGGCGTCGCTCCTAGCGCCACCGCAAGCGCAGATGAGCAGCCTCTCGCTCGCTGCGTCGAGATCTCAAAATGTGAGCTTCTTAGAGGCTTTGTTTGCTTTGATATCGATGCACCAGCACACGCCATCTCGTTTGTTTGCGAGATTTATTGCTAGAAATCGTTGCGCTTTTTTCCCCGTTCATATATAAATCTCCTCCTCCATTCGTTTTCTCTGTCTCACTCCGTTACTCATTCTCGATCTGTCTGCCTTACGTCTCCTCCAGGTCCTCTCTTCGTCTGCCTCCGTCTCTTTCCGCGGTACAGCCATCTCCGCTCCCCGCCGAATCGCCGCCACGGCGACTCCCTCCGCCGTTGCGGTGCGCGCGCAGGCTTCCGCCGCTGCCGCTGACGCCGCCGCGCAAGGTGAGGTGAGCGGCTGGGCTGGAAAGGAGCTTTGGTACATCCATGGCAGCTGTGACATGAGGTGGGGTGAGGTGAGGGGCTGTGTTAGGCAGAGGGCCTGTGGTAAAGAGCAGGTTTTATGGAGAGACGGACGATCTCGGAGAGCCTTAAGGAGAAGTAAAGCCGCTTGGTTGTAATGTAGAAAGAGCAGCTGTACGAAATCAACGACGGCAGTAATGTAGCTGTTCCACCACTGGGTTGATATAGAGCTGTAATTAGTTCGTCCTGGTGAGCAGTTCGACGGACTCGTTGACGGAACCGTTCACGGCGCTGTTGACGGAGCCGTTTTTTATAACTCAACGCGTCTGAGGGATGTCGGTTGCTGGCGTCTAGAGTTTGAAACAGTTAAAATTCGGGAGTACGGATACAGCTATGGCAGCTAGTGGCAGTTCTTTCTAGAAGCTTCCACAGCAGTGTTGTCAAGAGCTGCTTGTCCTCCACTCGGTCCTCAGTTTTCAAGCCAAGAGGCTTGGAATCAGGCTTATATAGCTGCCTCAGGAATAGCATCAATGAGGGTTTAGAGGCGCCTGAATGATTTAGATCAGGGGTGTGATTGAAGCGGTGTGGCTGGTATGTCGCTGTGACGTCGTACGCGATGTTACATCGACGGGGAACATAATTTGAGGTGTTGAGACGAGAATGCGGTTGCAGATTGCGGCTTGATGATGTCAAAAATAGTCCCAACGCCCTGACGTTCAGCATGACGATTTACTGTCGCAATTCACTGAAAGCCGCCGATTTGCCTGCCGTGGTCTCGATTCTCCCGATTCTTTCTCGGTTTTATCGGTTCTCTCGGTTCTCGTGGGTCTCTTGATTCTGATGTTCACAAGAAAGCATACGGCCACGTGTACCTCCTCCCTCGGTTTTGCGCGTGGCTTTTGTTGCGTTCCTTTTCTCCCTTTCCTCCTTCATTCCGTTCGTCCCTTTTCGTCTCGCTTCCACCTTCATCAGGCTTTCCCTCTCCCTCCTCGTTATAACGCTCTCGTTTCCCCGTCAAATCCACCAGCGTTGATTGCCGTACCTTTGTCTGGTTACCGGCTCTAGGATTTCAAAAATAGTCTCAACGCTCTGACCTTCAGCATGACGAGAGCCGTCCGATCCACCACCCGTCGTCTCTCTCCCTTGATTTTTTCCGCCTCTCGATATCTTATTTCTGATGTCCAAAAGGAATCGTGCAACCACCTGTACCTCCTCCCTCGGTTTCGCTCGTGTCCTCTGCTGCGTTGTTTTTCTCTCTTCATCCCTTTCCTCTCATTCCGTTCGTCCTTCTTGTCTCGATTCCACCGTCAACAGCCTTCCTTCTCCTTTACCTCGTCAATAACGTTCTCGTTTCTCCGTCAGATTCACCAACATTTATTTCCGTACCTAGGTCTGTTCACCGGCTCTAGGATGTCAAAAATAGTCCCAACGCCCTGACGTTCAGCATGACGATTTACTGTCGCATTTCACTGAGAGCCGTCTGATCTGCCTCCCGTGGTCTCGCTCACCCAGTTCTTCGTATCTCGGTTGTGTCGTCTCTCTTCGTCCCGGCCCGAAGCTCGCTCTGGTTCTCTCGCTCCCCTGGTTCTTTCATTCGTCCTTTTCTCTCGTATTTACCGCCTGTCTGCAGTTTTTTTTACCTTTTAATGAAGTCAGCGTCATTTTCTGGATTGTTGTGTGGAAGTCGTGTGGTAGTAACAGGCACTCCCAGTGGCGCGTGATGCGTTTGTTACTAATTGTATTCGTACTTCTTTAGAGAGCTCCGCTCTCATTGAAAGAGAATATAACTTTCTGATGCCACTCGCAGTTTGTGTTTGGTGCTGCTCTAACCATCCCCTCTCTTTCGTCATATCTTTCACTTTCACTCCCTCTCATTCTCTCGTTCTCTCATCTTTTCTTCCCATCTCCCCTGCTCTTACCCTCTAATCACTGTCCGCTCCTGCTCACACCCATCCCGCCCCCATCCTTCCCCTCTCACCCCCATTGTCCCTTATTGCTCCTGCTCACATCCATTCCGCCTCCCTCCTCCCCCTCTCCCCCCCTCCCCCCCCCCCCCCTCGCACCTTGCCCCTTCCCCCCCTTCTTCCCCACCCGCAGAGCGGTTCCGCCTGAACAACCTGGCTCCCCAGCCGGGATCCCGGCGCCAGGAGAAGCGCAAGGGGCGCGGGCACGCGGCAGGCCAGGGCGCCAGCTGCGGGTTTGGAATGCGCGGGCAGAAGTCCAGGTCCGGGCCAGGCGTGAGGTTCGGGTTCGAGGGCGGGCAGATGCCCCTGTACCGGCGGCTGCCAAAGCTGAAGGGCATTGCGGGTGGCATGGGCGCGGGTCTGCCCAAGTATGTGACGCTGAACGTGGGGGATTTGGAGGAGATGGGGCTGGAGGAAGGTGAAGAGGTGTCCCTGGAGAGCCTTGTTGAGGATGGGATTCTCAACCCCTCTGGCCGTGACCGCCGGCTGCCTCTCAAGGTGCGTACATATGTTCGAGGACTTCTGTAAGGCTGCTCCTGTCCTTAGTTTGGGGGATGGAGGCATGGAGAAATGGGTGCATGGCTGCCAAAAAATGTGTTATTTTTAAAGTGGGGGGTTTAAAGGAGGTGGATGTAGGTTTCGTCTACTCTCATCTGAGCTAGAATATCCTTCACTCATGTAATACGCGTCATGAAATTCATGTGCCCCTTCCATCAGATCTTGGGTGATGGCGAAATTTCCACCAAGGTGACCATCAAGGCGGCTTCTTTCAGCGAAGCTGCCCGGGAAAAACTCGAGGCTGCTGGTTGCACACTTGAGGTTGTACCTGGAAGGAAGAAGTTCCTCCCGGCTTTGGCAGTGAAGAGGCAGGCACAGATGGCTGAATTCCTGGCTTCCAAGGGAGTGACTGCGTAAGGGTGGTGTTACATTGTGTAAAGAAACGCTATTATATGTGGTTTACCCCCAGCTATGCTGCTCATTTTTCAGATGCTAGTTCCATATTGGTAGCTTCAGAAATTCTGCAATATACGAACGCAATAACACTGGTAAGAAACTTTCTATGTTCGATGTCTATGCCGCCATAGTCTCCTCTGGGAATGTCGCGACGGCGTTTATCAGCTCAGGTTTCGTGGTGCACTTTTGCGGAATCCTTTGGCCTCTCATTGGTGGCACGAGTGCGCCACGTCGTAAAATGGATTGCGTTCTTGCTAGCAGGTGCAACACCACTCAGCTTTCCACTGATGACGTGGCCCTCCCCTGGCAGCCCCTTGAACGTTGCAATGGATTACCCAATCCCAGAATGGTGCGATGGCGCTCATCGTGTTTTGAGTCCTGCTGACCTGACCTACCCCTAGAGGTTGCTTTCACCTCCACTTTCACCTCCACTTTCTCGTATCGTTCCCGTTTCACAGTTCTTTTCTCGTACTTTCTACGCGAGAAACAAAGCGTAACTATCAAAGCGGCGCTAATCGGTCTGAGTGGATTGATCTCCGTCCGTGCATTTTCGTTCCCTGAAGCAATCCATAGTCGTTCGCCATGGCTGCGTGCCGGCTGCACATGACCGTCACTCCGGTCGCAGGACTCCGCTCCTCCACAGTTCTGAAATCCAGCTTCGTCGCCTGTCCACGCGTCCTCAGCGGGCCGATCCGGTCCAACTCTCTCAGCGCTTCAAACGGCGGGAGAAGGCGGTTCATTGTGCACGCACATAAGGTGGAGGTTGAGCATCAGGGTAAAACACACGTTCTCGAGATTCCCGAGGACGAGACCATTCTGTCTGCCGCGATTGACGCTGGCCTGGACCTGCCCCACGACTGCAAGCTCGGCGTGTGCATGACGTGTCCCGCGAAGCTGATCTCGGGTGAGGTGGACCAATCGGAAGGCATGCTGAGCGATGACGTCATGGAGCAGGGATACGCGCTGATGTGTGCTTCGTATCCGAAGTCCGACTGTAAAATCCGCGTCATTCCCGAGGAGGAGCTTCTCAGCCTCCAGCTGGTGACGTAAAAGGTTGCTCGAGAAGAATAATAAGCAATTTTGTTTTGCTCTCCATTTTTTTGAGAATGAAGTACATTTTTAACATCCCTGTAACTTTTAATGATTGTTACGTTCATTGGCCAACCCTGGTTGATGCGATCACTCGGCAATGTTTTTTTAAGGCAACTAAAGGACAAATGGCAGTTTACTGAACTTATTTCTTGAAGTGGATGGTAGTCTACATATATTTTCTTATCTTCTGTCTGCCATTTTCGTTCCTCCCGAAGCCTTTTATTCCCTGGTGCCATCTACCCCTCCTCGCCTTCCACCCTCGTCCTCCGCTTCCCTTCTTGCCAGCCAAACTTTTGTATCCTCTCACTTTCTCTCCTCCACCTTCCTCAATCCCTCATCCAGTCCTTCCCAAATCCTTTCTCTCCCAGTCTCCGTCTCCGCTACTGCGTCTCCCCCTCTTGGTATCCGCTGCTCCGTTTATCCCTCTCCGTCTCCCCCTCTCCGTTTCCCTCTCTGTCTCCCCCTCTTTCTCTCCACCTCTTCGTCTCCCCCTCTCCGTCTCCCAACTCCGTCGCCCCAACTCCGTCTCCCCCTCTCCGTCTCCGCCACTCCATCTTCCCAACCCCATCTCCCCATCTCCGCCTCCCCCTCTCCGTCTTGTCCACTCCGTCTCCCACTCCTCTCTCGCTCTCCCTCTTCCCCTCTCCGTCTCTCCCTCTCCGTCGCTCCCTCTCCGTCGCTCCCTCTCTGTCTCTTCCTCTCCGTCTCCCCCACTGCGTCCCCCCTCTCCGTTCCTCCCTCACTGTCACCCCCTCTCCATCACCCCCTCCCCGCCTCCATTCCTCCCTCTCTGTTTTCCCTCCCTGTCTTCCCCTTTCCGTTTTCCCCATATTCTCTCCTGTGTGTCGCGCCTGTTGCTTCCATAGGTCGCAAATCCATTCTCTTAGCTATACCTTCGTTAACCGGCCCACTTTAGCCTGCGTTTTTCTTAGCTGCCCTGTCCTTGAGCCTGGACTTCGTGCTTACAGACTGATTTGGTTACTTTATACAGTCTAGGGTTATGAGTTCGAGTGTTAAATGCATCCTTTCTACTCCAGCCACATTGTCCCCGGTCACTTTGGCAAGTCTGCACTAGTTGAACGCGGTAATTCCATGTGGATAAGATGTCACCAACATATGTTGCTTGGAGCTTGATGAAGGATTACAAGTAACCTCCAGAGCTTTCCTTCAGCGTGTTAGGGTTGAATTTTAATTTGAATGATTTAAACAGTCATTTTGCCCTCAGTTGTCAGAATAGCTGTGCAGGAATGTTTGGATTAGCAAGATTTGGGGTACAAGTACTAACCCTAGAAGTGCTGTACCCCATAAGGAGTGCCCCACTATAGCCTACAAGTACGATTGTATTTTGACACACCCCCATAGGCTAAGTGGGGGGCAACAAGACGGTCACAAGACAACAAAGCAAAGCAAAGCAAAGCTCAGGGTGGATCTCAAGGACACCACACAATCCGAGCACAAGCAAACGGCCACAAGGCCAGTTCACATGCAGAGTTATAATAGCAAGGCACTGATCACAACCTAGCAAGAGTAAACAAGCAGGTATAAAGATATCAGTGTACAACAAGAGCAAGTCAAGCAACTAGCAGGTGAGGAAGAGTGGGCACAAGCCCAAGAGCAGTGAAGAAATGCTGATGATCACCAGACCCAAGGGCCTTGGTGTAGACATCAGCAATGTTGGCCTGCGAGGCCACGTAGGAAAAGCAGAGCTGAAGACGCTGCTGCAGCTCTCGCGCAAGAAAGTAGCGAAGAGCAATGTACTTCGTTTCGTGCTCCAGTCCCTGCTCGTGACATAAGGCAAGCATTGCCTTGTTGTCGATGTACAGAACAAGAGGAGAACGAGGTCGCTCCCCCAAGTCGGCCAGCAAATAGGTCAGCCAGCGTAGCCAAATAGGCTCCTGTGCAGCCATGGCCCCAGCGTAGATCTCGGCCTCACAGCTGGAACTAAACACAGAAGAAGAACGAGTGGACCTCCACGAGACAGAACCAGAGCAAAGACTGAAGGTGTAACCCTGTGACGAACGCTGAGTCGCCTGGTCGTCGGCCTAAGAAACGTCAGAGTGTCCTGTGAGTACCACTGAACCCTGTCCTCCAAACACGAGCCCCATGCCCGATGTACTGCACAAGTAACACAGCACCCTCTTCACAGCATCCCAGTGCACCTTTCGGTGTCTACCGGGAGCCACGTAGCAAGCAAGGAGGCTGAGAGGGTACGCGAGGTCAGGTTGTGTGCACGTCATCAGGTACATGACGCAACCCACAAGCTCTGGGTACGGACCACTCGCCTCTACGGACTCGTCCGAAGGTGGAGCTGAGAGCGAGTGGCCGGTAGATAGAGGAGTGGGTTGTGGCCAGGGCCTCAGTTATCAGGATAATTTATCCTGATTCTCCTGAATTCAGGATAGGTGTCGTGTGCTAGTCCTGGAAAAACAGCATAACCGGAATAATTGTCCTGCAATTTCAGTATAACGGTTATTTTGCGTACTGAAAACTCAGGATAAGGCTGTAGGTTCAGCTCTGATGAGTCAGGATAGTGTCGAATCTCACTCTGAGGCGAGATGTACTGTAAGAAAAATCTACTGGGTCTTGGGGCCTAAAATATGAACGGGCGAGCACCTCCACATAGAAGCCAGCGGGAATCGAGCAGGAGACCTTTAACGTATCGCATTGTCTCTTAACCCGCTACGACACTTCACCTATCGCTAGTTGTAGCACAAAAAATATATGGATACTACTAAATGTAGCACTGGCATTTCAGGATACCTCACCCTGTGCAGCCCTGCCAATTCAGGGCAAATTCTGATTTCCTAAAAACTGCCCTGAGGCCTCAGTGTACCCCCAAACGAATCTGAGGCCCTGGTTGTGGCGAGGAGAACTGGAAGGCGAAGCGCTGAAGGACCTGGTGCACCATGTGTGACTGAGTCAGGGTGATGGTGTGCCGTGCTCTGTCTCGAGTGATCTGCAAGCCAAGATAGCTACGCAGCTCACCCAGGTCAGTGCAGGTGTGTCTCTCCTGCAGCTCCGTCTCCACTAGGGTCAACGCCTTAGTGTCAACAGTAGTAAAAACCAAGTCTTCAACGTACACTAGAACGTAGAACGGCGGCAGGGTAGTGTCGGTGTGTAGAAACAGCGACGGGTCAGCAGAGGAAGGAGCAAACCCAAGAGCCGCAAGTGTAGTCCTCAGTGTGTCGTGTCACTCTTGGGGCACCTGGCGGAGACCGTAGACTGGCCGCCGGAGGCTCCATTGGGTACCCGCAGGAAACGACCCAGTGAAGCCGGGTGGGCGGCGCACCCAGATCTCCTCGTGAAGGCTGCCCTGCAGGAAAGCTGTGGAGAAGTCGAGGGAGTGCAGCTCGTAGTCACGCTGTGCTGCAACGTGCAGCAACACCCGAAGAGTAGTCATCTTCGGGGTGGGGGAGAAGGCCTGGAAGAAGTCGACCCCCTGTTGCTGACTGAAGCCTCGAGCAACGTAACGCGCCTTGAAGGCAGGCGGAGAACCCGGCGGCCGCTTCACTCTGAAAATCCACATGCCATCGACTATGTTCGCCCTAGGAGGAGGAACCTCGTCGACATAGGTGCCTGTGGACTTCCAGGAAGCCATCTCTGCGTCCATGGCTGTCTGCTACTCAGAGGAGTACTCACCCGCGATCGCCTCAGCGTAAGAGTGCTGGGTATGGATGTCAAGTGCATCCGGGTCTCCCTCAGGGAAAAGTAGCATGGATGCAAAACAAGGTAAAGCGATTGCAAGACACTCAAGCTCAAACTGACTGTCCTCAAGGACGTGACTGCTAAGGGCAGGCTCACCCCCGACGGACGGAGGACAGACAGACTAAGACTCAGTAACAAGACTCGCGACGTAGTCGAGACGACTCCTAGCTGCAAAGTCGACTAGCTCAGTGACTAGGGCAAACGCTGCAGTAGACTCAAGGTCAGGGTCAGTGACGACAGTAGCGAGGAGACGAGTGAGAGTAGGACTGGCAGCATGAGCAAGGTCAGACTCAGGCTGAGGAACGTGCACAAGAGAGGACGCGGGAGGCCTAGGCGGGACAACACGCTGTGGAACAGAGGAAGGACGAAGTGCCATATCGTGATTGCCTGGGACAGTAGGAGGACGAGGACGGGCGACACGACGAGCACAAACAGGTGTGGAAGCACGAGTCTTAGGCTCACGACGCTCAGTCACCTTAGTGTGAGGAGCAGGAGCAGGCAGCGGGGAGCCTGGCAGTAGCTGTGGCTGAGACTAGTCTGTCGGTGGACACATGAACGGTAGAGGGAGGCCAGTGGAAGACGGGAGACTAACAACCTGGCGAAGGACCGAGTCAGGCGGCGACAGGGACAACTGCGGCTGTGGGTTGAAAAACGGTCTGCGCAGGGAAGTACCAGCAGCTCCATCTCCCCCAACACCAGCAGCACCAGCAGTATCTCTAGCACCTCCAGTGCCAGTAGCTCCAGTAGCACCTCCAGCACCTCTAGCACCAGCATCACCACCTGCTCCGGCAGCCTCAGCACTGCTAGTACCTCCAGTACCTCCAGCTCCAGCGCCTCCAGCACCAGCAGTACCTCCAGCATCTCCAGTGCCAGCAGCTCCAGTAGCACCTCCAGCACCTCCAACACCAGAAGTACCACCTGCTCCGGCAGCTCCAGCACCTCCAGCACCAGCAGTACCTCCACTGCCAGCAGCTCCAATAGCACCTCCAGCACGAACAACACCACTAGCTCCGGCAGCTCCAGCACCTCCAGTACGAGCACCTCCAGGACCAGCAGCTCCAGCACCTCCAGTACCTCCAGCTCCAGCACCTCCAGCACCAGCAGCACCTCCAGCACCTCCAGCACCAGCTGTACCTCGAGGACTAGTAGGTCCAGTACCTCCAGCACCAGTAGCGCCTCTAAGACTAGTAGCTCCGGCACCTCTAGCACCAGCAATACCTCTAGTACCTCCAGCACCAGCAGCACCTCCAGCACCTCCAGCAGTACCTCCAGTACCTCCAGCACCAGCAGTACCTCCAGGACTAGCAGCTCCAGCACCAGCAGGACCGTACACTCCACCACCAGGACTGCCTCGCCGAACGATCCACGCACAAATCGCCTGCGGCGAGAGCGTCTCAAGTAGATCAGGCTGCGGTGGCTGTCCAGCTCCAGGACCTCCAGCAGGGTCACCCACAACTCCACCGCCACTAGGACTCGCAAGACCCCCAGAGTCAGCACCCCCAGTCGCAGCACCCCAAGAACTAGCACCGCCTGACGCAGCACCCCCAAAACCTGTACCCCCAGTCACAGCACCCCCAGCCGCAGCACCCCTAGAACCCTCACCCTTTGTCTCAGCACCCCCAGGCTCAGCACCTGCTGTCTCAGCTCCAGAGTCCACAGCAGCAGGATGCGGAGGCGGCGAAGACGGCCGAGGCGGAAAACCAGGGGGGGTCTCCAAGCGTGGAGAGCGGCGAGTGGCCGCCGTGTCGTCAACGGCGGGGTCACCCCCCTCAGCTGGGCCAGAGGAGTCAGAAGAGATCTCCAAAGGCTCAACCAAGGGGGGTGGGTCTACCTGAGACACACCTGAGGGAGCAGGACCCTGTGGGGGGAGGGGGTCTACCGAGGGGGGGACTGGTACCAAGAAAAGAGGCGCTAGGGGGACCGGGTGGGACGCGTGCGGGTGTAGCCTATAGTGACAGACTGACTCGTCAAAGGTGACGTCCTGGGAGGAGAAGACTCGACGCGAGCGCGGGTGGTAAAACTGCCATGGCAGGGCGTCGGTGGGGAAGCCAAGGAAGACGCAGCGGAGAGTGCGAGAGGAGAGCTTGCTCGCTTTGGCATCGCGAACAAGGAAGAGCGCGCCCCAGACCCGAAACACTGACGCATCGCCAACCTTCCCCGT